TGTTAAGGTTTGAAAACATAGGGCCAGTCCTGCAAACAGCTATCCTAGTCGAGCAAGGTGAGGCGAGCAAACTCTAGGAACCAAGGAGCGAGACCTGATTATTAGGATTGGGAGTATGCTACTGTAATTGTTAGGCCAGTTTTAGTGAGGTTTAATGTCCCTATTTTCAAGACTCTCAATGTTAGAAACAATGTAAACAAATTTCATCCCGGTAATACTCATTTTAGCCCTGAAACTTTTATCACATCTTCCTACATTTATCTATGTAATGCCTATGAATCTGGCTAGGCACTTTTAGACCGAGAACCGAAACCCTTACCGAACCGAACCGAAACCAAACCGAACTGTTGGTTTTTCGGTTCGGTTTCGGTTTCTGATTCTAGAAACTTCGGTGATCGGCTCGGTGTTCGGTTTTGGCCCCTAACCGAACCGAGAAACCGATTGAAATCGAAGTGCGTGCAACCACCGAAGGCTCCTGTGCGCTGCCCTGTCCGCATATTTCCTCCTCACTTCCCCCTAGCGGACCAGCCCAACAACCACAGCCCACAGGCCACTCAGCACTCGCCCACTCGGCACTCCCACCCGCACGTCAAACCCTATCTAGGCTATCCTATCCTACGCAGTGCCGCAGCGGCAGTGGCGGCACGGGAAACATCAGGGCGAACGACGGAGCGAGCAGGAGCAGGGAGCGATGCCCCCAATCCTAGCAGCGCCCCCAACCCTAGCATGGCACGGTGCCCAGCGGCGGCATGAGCGTGGAGCAGAGCGCGGCGGCAGCGGTGGCCCGCTCGAGCGCGGAGCAGGGCGTGGCAACGGCAGCACGCGCGACCGTGAGCAAGGCGCAGCGGGGGCAGTGCGGCCCTGAGCGCGAGTAGGGCGCGGGCACGTGACGGCCGGCTCCGAGCGTGAGTGCCAGCGCGTGGGGCAGACGACATATTAGGTTTTTTCGGTTTAAACCGAAAACCGAAGTAAAAACCGACACCGAAGTTGTCGGTTTCTAGCTTTGAGGTAAACCGATCGGTTGCTGTCTCTTAGAAAACCGAAATTTTCAGGAACAAAAAAACCAAACCGAACTGTCCGTTAAAACCGAATGCCCTGGCTGACCTATGAAACTCTTTATGAAGCTCACATTAAACTAGCCTTAGTGAAAGTATAGTCTACAATAAATAGTATCATACTCCAATATGTAATATAATGTCTATGAGAGTGGACCCGAATATAGGAATTTGTGACACAAATTAGGATAATCCTGTCAATACAAGATATATTTTCTTTGTTTTCTATTATAAATGATTTCACTATAGCGGAAAAATATTCTATGCGGCATCTGATATTCTGCACGGCGTGTGATTAATGAGCCCGAAGCCAAAAGCAAAGATGTGTGTATAGACCGGCTGGACGCACGCCGTTTCCAGCTTCTCAACTGAGTTGCCTATCATGGCTCCTGCGGGAAATAGACACAAGAATCCCTCACAATCTATGGATCAGAGCCGGAAATAATCACCACTTCCAAGCTCCGGGCTGGTTAGGTGACGGCAATTACCGAGAGTAATAAGAGCACTGCCAGCCCAACCCGCCCCTCCTTTTGCAACAAGATGCAAGAACTCGATGCAATGCACTAGAGGCTCTTTGTAATCTCAAGTGATGCAATGGAGTGGATTGTGTTCTTTTGCTCCCAATGTGTTTGCTCAGCAGTTTGGGGGTCCAAGAGAGTGGCCATGGCTGGCCAAGGGGGTATTTATAAACCTTACACCCGAAATAGAATCGTTACCCCTTGGAGCAAAATTCTGCGTGGGCAATGGACAGCGGCAGTGTGTCTCCAACGGTCGAATTTCAGCCGATCAGGCACACTGGACGGCTTGTCCGGTGACCCTCACCCGTGACTTTCAAGTTTTCCTCACTCTATGAAAAAATAGGGCGGTGCACTAGACACCCTGTCCAGTGACCCCTTTTCACCGATTTCTAGTTTTCGCTGCTCTCTGGATTTTTAGGACGGAGCGCTGGACACCCTGTCCGATGGCACCGGACAGCCGGTCCAGTGCCCTGTCCAGTGTACACCGGACGGCACTATGCCAGCCCGAGACACGAACATGCTGCAGCAGCTCTGGGACCTGTCCATGCCCACCGGACAAGCAGTCTGGTGCCACCCAGATGGCAGCACTAAGAGCCCGAAAACACCTCTGCAAGCGATGCTAACTTTTAAATATTTTCACAAACATATTTAGGGCCAAGTTCGTATTTCCAAAATATTTTTCATAAATATTTTCTCTTGCTCACCATTGTGCACTAGTCCTAAATGCAATGCATAGTTTTTCAACACCTATTGGCACTAGATGACCGAGTTGTTCTAATAGAGCTCCCCTCTTAATAGTACGATCATGTATTCTAAACCCTATCACGCACTCTATTACGTTTTGACCAGCAAAATAAAATTTCTATTTATACCTTTGCTTCGAGCCTATAGGATTTTGTTTTTCTCTTTCTTCTTTTCCAAAGTAGAGCACTTGATCATCATCACATGTGGCCATCTCCATCACTTAAGTGCCACCTAGCTCTACCTTGGTGTGAACCAACCTAACTCATGTCATTTAGAACAAATGGGTAGTTCACTTTAGGTTTCATCAATTATCCAAAACCAAACTAGAACTTTCACCCGCGCCCTCTTCACTTTTCTGCATGCACATGGGGACCGCTTACGCTTACGCTCGCTTCCCGTGCTTGCTAATGAAAACACTTACGAAAATAAAGCACTTATTGCAACATACATCTAAAACAAGTGAAACATTTGGGAACATACGTTTGTAGCATATATGTATAGCCATTGCAACATATGTAACATCCAGATAAAACACTTGCAACATACGTCTAAAACAGCTGAAATATTTGAAATATACACTTACAATATATGTGTATAGCTATTGCAACATATGGAACACCAGATCTACTTTTGCAAACATCCAAATAAAGGGCATGCTTGGTTGAAGCAATTGTTTGCCAAGCCAAAACATGGACAAGTTCAAAAGATTTGGCATGCAATTGGTTTGGTGCCAAAACATTAGCAATCCCTTCAAAATTTTGGCAAGATAACAATTTTCTCTCTCGCTGGTAGCAAACCGAGTACCAACATTGGTTGTCTTGCCAAAATATTGGCTTGTCATGATATTGGTGTACCCATATTTTAATTTGTCTTGCCTTAATATTGGCATGGAAAAGATTGGTGTTCAACCAACCAGACTCAAAACCCTTGCAACATATATGTGAAACATATGCAACATTCAGATAAACACACTTGCAATATACGTCTGAAAAACAGATGAGACATTTGGAACAAACGCTTGCAACATACATGTATAACCATTGGATCATATGCAATATCATGATCTACTTTTGCAACATCCATATGAAACATTTGCAACATACTTCAGAAACATCTGAAACACTTGAAACATACGCTTGCAACATGTGCTTTCAAATGCAACATCTACTTGTTGCTTGGACGAATTGAGGCTCGTCGACGCGAAGCTCGATGCCATGGAGTGGCACGTGCCGGGGGGCAAGGGTGGTGGATGCCAGCGGGCAGGCAGCTGCACGTCTCCCGGCAACAGGGGCGAGCGGGTGCGGTCCCCCATGGTGGAGGTGATAGCGTTGGGTGGCTACACTGCCCGCGGCGAGCGTCCCCCAGGCTGGAGAAGGTGAGTGGTGGGCAGGCGGCGTGGTGGAGTCGGCTGCAACGGTCGCATGAGCGCGGTGAAGAAGGCCGCGATGAACGTCCAATTTTTTTTAATGGAGAAGCCGTGGGGAGCAGGCATATTGGGCTCCGCAGGCCTAGGAAGGGTGCCTGAGGAGTGCATTTCCGTTAGGATAATCCTGTCAATACAAGATACTTCCTCTGTCCCAAATTATAAGACGTTTTGATATTTCAATATTCACTAGATGAGTGCCCATGCGTTGCAACGGGAGCAACATAAATTGAATGAGATGTTTGTTAGCCAAGTCAAAATCAAGAATATATCAATTCAATTTTTCACGTGTATTATACCATGATAATGTCTAGAAACACATTCATTATCGTAATGAATCTGAAATAAAAGCTAGGCTTGGGGCTTGTTGTCTGAAAGTTACGACAAACATCAGTTGCCTCAAAGGCTAAAAATTTATTGCTAGGCATCAAATTAAATTTATCCATGCTTTGCCTTGCTAAAACATGTATACTCGGACTTACAATATCCTACCCCGCATGAGGCATGGTAATAATTCATTTTTTGGAAAAAAAGTATTCGTTGTCAACACGCAACGTGAAGGATGACGAACGAGATTTGGATCACCGTGGTGATATTCGAATAAATTTCTTTCTCTTCCCATAGTTCTCTTTCCGTTTTATTTCATTTTATTTACTTGCCTTACAGTGTCTTCATGTGGTGATTATTTGCCTGCCATTGATTCCGTGAGTTTTATTCTATTTTATTTACTTGTCTTCCAGTATCTCCATGTGGTGATTATTTACCTGCCAGATATGGATCGCATGAGTGTTTTGGTCCTGCCGGGTAGATGTTGACAATCCGTATATTTTAGTTGTATATAGATATGGATATAGATATAGAGTATAGATAGATAGATAACTTGTACTATGTGTCTAAATATAATATATATCTAGCTGCATAGAAAAAACTATGAATTTAGAAAATCCAAAACGTCTCAACGGAGGGAGTATATTTTCTTTGTTTGCTCTAAATGATTTGCAATATCAGCGGCATCTGATATTCTGCACGGCATGTGATTAATGAGCCTGAACCCAAAAGCAAGATGTGTGTATAGACCGACCGAACGCACGCCGTTTCCAGCTTGTCTCCTGAGTCCTGACGGCCTGTTTCACGGCTGTATACTAGACGTTAAATCCCTTCCCGTCTTCCTCGACCAACCCCCATTTCCCAAAACCACTCCCACTGCCGTCGAGAAGAAGCGTCCACAACGAACCTAGGATTTCCCTCTCCCCGGCTCCCATGACGGTCGCCGTCGCGGGCGGCGCAGCCAAGGACTCGCCGCCGCCGGTTCCGGCGCTGGAGCGCCCCGACTGCGCCGCGGCCAAAGCGCTGACCTACCTATGCTTTGCCAGCATGTGGGTCGGCGGCGCGGGCGTGGCCGCCGCGGCCTTCATCGACTTGATCTCGGCAGGCGGCGCCTATGGCATGGGCTTTTCGGTGTGCAGCGCGCTGCTCAAGCTCTCCGCCGATGCCGTCCTCTTCGGCGCGCTCCTCGCCCTCGTCGTCCTCCTGCTGCTACTGCGCGCCGCCTTGCGATTGGTCGTCACGGATCTCAGAGTCGACATGGGGATGGGGATCAACAAGGTAACGCCACAGAAATTTATCAACTTGCTTTCGAATTTGTTGATCCTAATTAATCCTACCGGATTATTGTACTCGATTAACCAATACTGGCGAGTTTGACTGTATTGGAAATTTGGAATCCATGTGTCTGATCGCTGAAACTGTTTTATGTTTCATTGGCCTGCCTGACCACCTGGAAATGCTTGTCTTCATCAGATACCTCGAGAGTCAATGGGGAGCATGCTGGGTGACACTGCTGTGATCGGATGGCTCGCGTCTCTACTTTTCCTCCTGCTCAGCCTTGTTGGTTGTTTGGTGCTGATCGCGCTGTCACCAGCCAAAGGATCTCTGACGGTGAGGATCAGTACAGCGGTCATTGACGTGGGGATACTGGGTTCCATGGTGCTTTCTTGCTTTGTCACCATACCCAGTATGGCACTTAAGCTGTGGAGGATGTCGCCCGAAGGCGATGCACCTGCTGACAACATCGTCTGAGGTCTCTGCACCCTTTACTCTCTGGCTATACTTTTGTTAATGTGGCTTAGTACCAGCTAGTACATATTTTCTATTGTCAACATGATGTTTTGTGTGCATTGCTCTTAACTGCAAAACCCACCTGCACATCTAGCTTTTACGTGTTCGTGGGCACTAGCATTGATCTGTTTCTTGTGGTCAATTGGCCCAATGCAACAAGAAGCGTACCATCCCGAGAGAATGCAAAATGATCAAATCTTGTGTTATCTATATTAGGAAGCATATAAATAATTGGTTAGGCACAGCCATCACCATGAACTTTTGTAACTGGGAAACTAGTTGGATTACCACATTAGTGTTTAATGTTTGCAAGTATCTCTGCTCAAAAGTCTGCTGTCTGTCATTGATAATTTTTCCATTGATGCCACTGTATAAAATTTATTTTGAAGGGGTGACCCTGTTCTCCACATAGCCGCTTGTTCATGTGTTCTCTCTGCAAATCTGCATACCACGTTCTTTTTTAATATACAAACTTAATTATTGCTGCTTTTCTATTTTAGTAAAAGAACTAAAGTGTCAATTCAATTGTGTGAATAAGTAAATATGTGAGAAAGCAGGATCAACTTTACCCACTTAGTTAGTTCTCTACTTGTGTGTGCTGCTGTGCCACTGCATTTTGGTTAAAGCGACTTTTGAAGCATGTTTCATTAGTTGTTTTGATGAGACCATCTCATCATTCAGAGTTTTTTTTTTCCTGCTGCTCGTATTTCCCTCAACTATCAATGATGACCTATTGCACAAATACAAATTATACTAGGTGAAATAGTTTCATAGCATGGTTGCTTAAAAACAAATTGCATGTGGTTGGTGGTACACTCTGGCATTTAAGGTTCATATTAGTAGCTGTAAGTTTTAATTAAAACATCCTTTGAACAGCTACAATTGCAACAGTAAGAAATTGAATGATTTGATATATGCATGTTATCTGTTATTAAGTTGAGATACAAGAACTGTGCTGACCAACATGTACTTTGTTTTATTAACAGACAATGGCGCTTAGGAGAAATGGCATCGAAGAATGCTTAAGTGGCTGCGACACATGAGCCTGAAAGTTCTCAAAGTTTATGGTTATACTCAAATAATTAGAGTAGACATGTTACTGGGGCTACATGATTCTGATTCCCTATAGCTATGAACTACACTACCAAGTTGTGTTTCTAAGATGATACCCAGTGCATGCCTGTGCAACTTCCTCTTGCAAAATTCAACGGCGCGCTGTACATATATCGCCAGAATTCGTATCCTGAGCCTGAGATTGTTAATGTGCAATATGGTCGCTGTGGTGGTTTTACCCTATCCGGACAGAAGTGATCCCATATACATTTATTTCTTGATGAATGATTATGGAATCTCCTTTGTTTCCTCCGTTTCATGTTGTTGGGCATGTATGTATATTAGGCACCAAAAGAAATTCCACTATATTACAGAGCGGAGGGAGTATACAAGAAGATTAGGAATAATAGAGTGAGATGCTAGATTTTTTTTCCCTAATCCTACATGGTGTCAGATCCTGTGGATTCGTGTGGCCAAGGGGGTGTGGTGCTGGCAGAGGTGTGAAACGAGCGAGGTGGGCGAACCAATCATGGCAGTGGGGAGCGCTGGTGAAGTACGGTGGTGAGCTCCTGAATGTATGTTGTGGGGGCCGTGGCGTTCTAGATCCTGTGGATTCGAGGGGGTGTGGTCTGCGCACGGGAAGCAGGCTTGTGAGGAACCGAGCGATACTTGAGAAGTTGAGTGGAGTGATTGTTATATTGACATGGGGCAGAATTGGTAAGTCACTGGCGTCGACGACTATGCTGGGTGACAGCAAAGAAGTAGGGGAAAGCAGGCACACGCAGGTGCTGTTGCGGCGGTGCGCGTGGAGAAGGCGTGGCGAGCAGCCGTAGATACGTGATTAGAGTGCGCTGCAGTAAAATGATGTACGTATCGATTGCAGCAGAAGCAGCTTGAGCAGCTCCCAATATCGACGTGCTGGGTTTCGCTTTAGCGTTGTCTCCTGTAAGGAGGCCAGGTGCTTGCATATCTAAAGTTTGTGGACATCACAATTCTTAACATGCCTCCATCTATTTAAGTAACTATATATGTAGTCCATCAACCCAACTACCGGCCTCATTAAGGGGGTGTTCGGCTGTCCTGGTTTGAAGGAATTCTGGAGGATTTTTTGTGAGAAAAAAACACGGTTCGAATAAAAAAAAGAAGCGGATTAAGCCGGGTTTAAGGACACGCGAACGGGGCCTAAATCTCACATGGGCTAGGAATTTAGGAGACATAATAAGCAATGGTTATGTTTAATACATCTGACTGTTGAGGTTTCGACCTTGGAGAACACATTCCCTCCTTTATTAATAATGGAACTTTTGGATAATCAATGTCAACTCGCAGAGGTATAACCTTTGGAGTTGTAGCTTCACAGAGAAAAAGTGACCTTCGGAATAGACTTGGAAGAAGCATCCTTAAATCGGCAAAGCCGATCACAAGACGAAGACCTGGAAGAGGGACATTATTGGAAACAAAGATGGGGGTGGTCACCTTCGCTAAGATCACTAAATATCTTCAACCAAAGGAGAAACTTCATCACATGAAGACTTGAGATATGAAGACTAGTTGTACAAAGACTAATGAAGTCTCCATGAAGTCCTTCAATCACGACTATTGTAAATTGTAAACACGAGATGTAATTGTTTGTAAGAATGACTGATGTAACCTCATCAAATATTGTATTCGACATGATGAATGCATTGCAAAGGTCAGGAGTAAAAATGATATCTAGTGGTACGCCCGAAGATTCCCTCTCCTATAAATAACCCTGACTTGTATAGAAATGGGCATGAAATGAATACACACAATCGTCTTTAGTTCACTTTCTGTGTTCATCATTAGTTGAGTGTCTTTCACCAACACCGACTAATAAAATTTACTTATATTAAATTATACATTTTTTATTTTCTAAGACAACAGACATAATAGATACCTATAAACTTACCAATTACTATGATGCCATGAACTTGATTTTTTTGTCGTATCTCCATGTTTTCTATGTATATCTATAGTTTTATTTCCTTTGAATGAAACCTTTATGCATCTTATTTAATATGTATTTAGTTGAAATCTTAGCTTAAATTGTGGTGGCTTAGTTGCAGTGTGTGTGTGTGTGTGTGTGTATATATATATATATATATATATATATATATTATCATGAATCTAAATTTTGATTTTTAAATTCTAATCTTATTAATTGCAATAGCTTTTTCATCTCAAGTCGAGTTGAAACTTGTGCGCTTATTGTATATTTTCTTAACTCTTCTTTTGTACTTTTTAAAAAGGGATAAGTCATTTTGGTTATCAAACTATCACTGGAGTTTGGTTGCGGTCACTGCAAAACTAGAAATCTTTGGACATTCAACTTTGTAAATTAGACATACTTTTCCATACCACCCCTTTGATGATGGTTTTCATCGCCACCACACTAGATCAACTTGCCTAGTCAACATGTTGACTTGAATTGGCCCAACCATCAAGCCCCCTGCACCTTATCCTCCACCAGTGCATCCCGTGAACCCATCAGCTAGTCCTGATCTATTGTGTGCGATGATAGTGGCACACCACACGGCAGATGAAATGGTGCTCCAAGGAGGGGAACACCAGTGAATGGTGGAGGAACAGGAGGTTGAGAGCAATGTCATTTGAAATGGGTTTCTCTTCTCTTGGTGTTGGGTTAGTTGGATCAAGCAGTGCAAAATCCTTCTCCACAGCTTTCCACACTTTTCTATTGATTGATTTCAAATGTGTGCCCATCTTCCTCTTTCAATAATCATAGCACATACCATCAAAGAATGGTGGCTTCCCCATATGGTTGATTTGAGTCATTTTAACACCGTTGGTTGGTAAGCCTCAAATAAATGGTGATCACGCTACGATACTACTTGAAAGGTCCTAAATAGCCACTACTGGAGACGGCTTCTTTACCGAGTGTCCCAGACTTTGCCGAGTGCTTTTTATCGGGCACTCTGTAAAGAGGTTGTTTGCCGAGTGCTAGAGAGAAAGCACTCAGCAAACAACTGGCACTCGGCAAAGAGGTGGTTTGCCAGAACACTCGGCAAAGGGACGCCTCCGTTAACGGTCGGCAGCCGCCGTTAATCCTTTGCCGAGTGTCTTCTCCTAACACTCGGCAAAGAGGCTCCTTTGCCGAGTGTCATTTTTTGACACTCGGCAAACCATATTTTTTTTCATTTTTAACCTCCAAACTTTTTCTGCAGTCCTCATACAATACCTGATACTCCATGTTCCAATGTGGCACATTTCTCGGACTTTTTCTATATTTCTTTAATTTATTTCATTTCATTGAATTTCTTGGATAATTCAAATTATAACTGCTAGTCATTCGAATAATGAAAAAAATGAATGGAAAAATGATATTCATGTTATTTAGTATAATGTGAGGCCATATCCTGGAACAAACCACCAATTTCGAACATCTTGTTCACGAAACATGACCACGAACTTGCGATCGAGTTATTTTTAAATTCTATAAAAAGCAAATGAAGTCCGAAAATCATGAAACTTGTCAAGATGTCAATATATCATATGTGGAGGCTGTGATAAAAAATTGAGAAGGTTTCATGCAAGTTGTCACTACGATGCTTGCAAACCAAAGAATCTTCGAAGAAGTTTCATGATTTCGTGAAGAGGCCGACGAGGTGGTAAGCATCGTACATGACAAACTTGCGCGAAACCTCCTCAATTTTTTATAACAGCCTCCACATATCATATCTTGACATCTTGACAAGTTTCATGATTTTCGGACTTTGTTTGCTTTTTATAGAATTTAAAAACAACTCGACCGCAAGTTCGTGGTCACGTTTCGTGAACAAGATGTTCGAAATTGATGGTCTGTTCCTAGATACGTCCTCACATTATATTAAATAACATGAATATCATTTTTCCATTCATTTTTTTCATTA